AAGAGCTCTGCTGTTCCACAGACCATAAACACAGGGGATACTAAACAACCTACTGCACAAAAACAAGAGAAAAAGATGTCTGAGTCACCTCAGCTAGCAAGTAAATCTTCTGTGAAAGCAAAAATAGACCATACATTGTCTGCAAAAGTTGACAAAACTCCCCTGCCTCTTCCCAAAATCTGTCCTCTTTGTAAGGCAGATATTACCAGTGATCCTCCTAATTTCAACACCTGCACCGATTGCAAAAACATTGTGTGTAACCATTGTGGATTTAACCCCATGCCTCATGAGATAGAGGTAAGAGAAAGAGTTTATTTTACTCTACTGGTCATAATTGATTTATTGAAGGACAGTCATGTTGATTTGTGGTTGTGATTTTGGTCATGCAGGTGAAGGAATGGCTCTGTTTGAGTTGCCTGATAAAGAGAGCACCTGAACCTTCAAGTCTAAATCCCCAGCTGCAGATTAATGCTGGCTCACAACAAGACAAAACAGCTCCACATCAGCCTCCTCCAGAACCCAGTAGAACTGAGGACCAGTCAAAAACAGCACTTGGAAAACCCACTACTATATCTACAATACAAAATCTTCCAAAGGAAAAACCTGCACAGAAAGAAACTATAAAATCTCAAGAGCCAAAAGATAGTAGTGCTCCAGCCAAATCCGAAACAACATCACAATCAGATTCCTCCAAAAAAGATACAGGTTTCTTTGGCTTTGGTTTTGGTGGTGCTCGATCTCGATCACCTTCTCCTCAACCTATTGTCTCGGAGAAAGTTCTAGGCTTTGGCTCCTCGTTCCTCAGCTCAGCATCTAATCTCATATCTTCGGTAGTTGAAGATGAATCCTCCACAACACCGCCAACACCTCGTAAAGGTTCAACAGTTTCCCAGACCTCAGTGAAGTCTACAACGCCGCCCACCTCTCGTAAGGGTTCATCGGTTTCACAGACATCTCTCAAAACCACATCTGCTGTGGCAGCAGCAGCTACATCCCATAAGGGATCCACAGCATCCCAGGACACAACAAAAATACAGGTTGGGGAAAATAAACCTCTGTCTCAAAAGCAATTGGAAGACAAGGAGCCCTTACAGTCTCAGCCTTTCAAATCACCATCTAAACTGCCATCAAAGCTTCAAGCAGTTAATATGTCCTCTCAGTCTCTCCCTAAAGAATGCCCACTTTGCAAAGTGGAGCTCAAGAAAGATCCTCCTAACTTCAACACCTGCACTGAATGCAAGAGCATTGTATGTAACCTCTGTGGGTTTCTCATGCCTCATCAAATCAAGGTAAGATAATTCAGTATTTGCAAAATGAGCTGTGGGCTATACTTTATTTACCTTCAGTAAAAAATACTTTTGATAGCAATATTGCTGAATTAGCTGTAGAATGATAATGCTATGTAGGAAACCATTTTGTCTGGGGTTTCTCAAACTCTCTCATTTGTTGGCAGGCAAAGGAGTGGCTTTGCTTAACCTGTCAAGTGCAGCGAGCATCAGTCCCTTCCCATGCAGAGCCTCAATATCAAGCTAAGAAAGTAGCCCCAGTGCCAAAGAAGAAGGAGCAAGATGTTCCAGAAACTGCGCAGAAGAACCAAAACACAGAGGAAGCCACCAATACTGGTCAGAAAACAGCTGTAGTTGGGGGAAAGGAGCCAACTGATGTGACACCACAACAGCTCAGTCAACTGAAGACCTCACAGCAGATGAAATCGGACAAGCCTCAAGAAAAACAATCCAAGCCACCAAAGGCTGAGCCTAATCAAGAGCAGTCTGGATTTTTTGGTTTTGGCTTTGGCGGGGCTCGATCTAGGTCTCCTTCACCTCAGCCTGCTGTTTCTATTGTGTCTGGCAAAGTTTTAGGCTTTGGTTCCTCCTTCCTTAGCACAGCTTCTAATCTGATATCTTCAGCTGTTCAGGATGAACCTTCCACAACACCACCAACCTCCCACAAAGGTTCGTCAGTTTTAGAAACAACACCTCCTCCCCGCTCCCGTAAAGGCTCTACAGTATCTCAGTCATTGTTCAACAACAACACAACATCACCTAGCTCACAACAAGGTTCTGAAACCACACAAGGTTCTCAGAAGGCTCAACCTAGTAAAGATACTAAACCATCAACTGAACAGAAACAAGAGGAGAAGACACCATTGCTTCAACAGGCTGAGGAGCCATCAAATAAAGTGAAACAGGATAAAGAAACACCTATATCCAAGCCTCTTCCCAAGGTCTGCCCACTCTGCAAGGTGGAGCTCAAGAAAGATCAATACAACAGCTGCACTGAATGCAAAAATATCGTATGTAACTTGTGTGGGTTCAACCCTATGCCCCATCAAAATGAGGTAAGAAAATATCACTGTTGTGTTGAACTATTTTTTTTTGTTTGTTTGTTAAGTCCGTGTAAAGCAATATTAAATATGTGTTATGAGTTTGTCACACCACAGAAAAATGTATTAACCACCCAGCCAAATCTGAATGAAAAAAAATGGCAAGTAAATAAAATAAGTTATCAAAATCTTGAAAAAATAAGCAGTATTCTCCACTCTCAAACACTGGGGGCATGTCTGTGTTCGGCGCTGAAACCACGCCCACTCGCGGGAAAGCTGTCGTCTCTCTCAACTGTCAAATACCACTACAACCTGAATGGATGCTCTATCTAGCAGCTTATTTGGATTTACACACCCATACATTACGTGATGAAGGCATAGCTAGCTAGCAAACTGGGCTGTAGTAACTAATGCTAATGACTTACTCACAATTGAGCGGGTGAACCACTGATGCCAATCCACTCTAGTTATTAGTTGTGTTCGACTTCAGGCAGCGCTGCGCAGACAGATTGGTGTATGACATCAAAGTACCGTGAGAGCTATTAGAGAACAGATGACTCTGCATGCTTTTGAATCGCTCTCGCGGTTCTTTGATGTCATACACCGATCTGCACAGTGCCATGTCAAGCCGAACACTTCTCTTACAGTGTTAGGGGAGGGGCCATGCTCAGTGGCTCCAGTGCGTCATCGAGACATGATTTCAGCCCCGCCCAAAAAAATCCTGAATACAAAGATGGTGAAAAGCTGTTTAACGGTCTAACTCCACAATTTAGTACTACATAGTTCACAGTATTTGTAACGTGTTTCAGCAATACATTTCTAACATTTATAATGTGTTAAACACATTGATAAACAATTATCTCAATTGCCTTTACACGGACTTTAAAGTCAGCATGAAAGGGAAGTTGCAAACCACTTTAAGTTACGCTTTATTACAGTAGTCCACTTTAGACATTCCGTTAACTGTAAGTAACTTTCCAACTACATGTCAACTAACTCGCATTAATTTGCAACTACATGTCAACTAACTCATTAGAGCAGGGGTTTTTCTGGCGTAACTTCTGTAGCTTTAATGGATATATGTGTAGTATATTTTCTTCATATAGTAATGGGGGTATGGGGTGGGGGTTCATGGGGTTAGGGTTAGTACAATGAGCTGATGTGTACTTGTGTCTGCTGTGTGTTGGGTGATCATCAAAATACAGTGTTAGCAGATATTAAGAAGACAGCCTACTAATACTCTAATGACTGGTAGTTGACATGTAGTTGCAAAGTTACTTATAGTTAGTAGAATATCTAAAGTGGACCAGGGGTGGTTTCTTCATTAGGGCGAATGTGCGAAAGGGAGGGATCACATTCAACCACAGTTGTCACTGTTCTAGACTGTTTGTTCTGCCTCTGGATATATAGTCCAATCATCGTCAAGTCACACTCTGCAATGCAATCTCTATAGCTGTGTCTGAAACCGCTCTATCAAACTTCTATCAAACAAGAAAAAACAAACAAACAAGGAGGGACACCATCGGTTGTTGACTGGATTGTGAAAAGTGAGCGTTGCATAGCAGAATGGAGGCAGATCTTAAAAGCTGTGTGGTCTTGCATATGCCAGCAGAGAAGAGAGCATGTCACAAGAAAAGCAAGTTAAGACAGTCTGATTTAAAGATTACAAATTCAATGAAAAAAAATGGATGAATGATTTGTTTATTGTAAGACCAGTGGTATGCATTAAGAGTATTTATGTAGTTTCAATTTTGTGCTCATGCTGACTTTATGGAAAACTATCATGATGCAATTTGAGAACCAACATTTTCATGCTGACAGGAGAGCTTACAATGCTCATCTCTTCTTTAATCTAGATGATTTGAGCTGCCTTGGAACATTGCAAGTTAATAAGCAGTGTGTTTTAGTCCACTTAACTTTGGGATGCTATATACACAATGTAAATTTCAGTTACACAATTATTAATTCAATATACTTTACAAAACTACAGGTGAGGTGGCTTTGCTTAGCGTGTCAGATGCAGAAAGCACCAGAGCCTCCCCCTGCACAGCTTCAGCCACACGTTAAGGAAGTTTCACCACTTAAAATGGATACTCCCACTCTAGATGTTTCACAGAAGACGCCACATCTTCCAGCAGATTCAGTTCACAAGGATAAGAAACTAGAAGTGGCAGGGAAACAAGTCAATAAGCAAACTTTAGCAGAAACTGAACAACCCACCCAAAGAGAAACAAAACAACATCATATTGTAGAATTTCCAAAGTCAGAATCTCAAAAAACTGATCCGCAACCAGACAAACCTGGATTCTTTGGGTTCGGTTTTGGAGGAGCTAGATCTCGATCACCTTCTCCTCAGCCTGCTGTCTCTGCTGTCTCAGAGAAGGTTCTAGGGTTTGGTTCTTCATTCTTAAGCTCAGCATCTAATCTAATCTCAACAGCTGTTCAAGATGAGTCTTCTATAACACCATCTAGTTCTCGCAAGGCTTCAACAGCTTCTCAAATGTCTGATAAGACACCACCAACATCTCGCAAAGGTTCTGGAGTTCCACAAATCTCCAATAAAGTTAATACCACTCCACCTTCCTCTCGTAAGGGTTCTACAGTTTCTCAGACATCTGTTAAAACAACTCCTCCAACCTCACAGAAGGAGTCTGAAGCTACAGTAAACCCTAAAAACATTGAAAAGACAGATGGGGCAAAAACTAAAGTTGCAGAGAAAGGAGTAGGAACCAATAAAGGAGCTACCCCACACCAACAACAACAAGGAAAGACCCAAGATGGACATGTTCCTATCTCCTCTGAAATCCCTGAAGAGTCTAGAGGTAGATCTCAGTCTCCTTTACTTCCACCTGCAGCTTCTGCTGTCTCTGGGAAGGTTCTGGGATTTGGTTCCTCCCTCTTTAGCTCAGCAAGTAATCTGATCTCATCAGCTCTAGATGAGCCTGCCTCTGGATATATAGTCCAATCATCGTCAAGTCACACTCTGCAATGCAATCTCTATAGCTGTGTCTGAAACCGCTCTATCAAACTTCTATCAAACAAGAAAAAACAAACAAACAAGGAGGGACACCATCGGTTGTTGACTGGATTGTGAAAAGTGAGCGTTGCATAGCAGAATGGAGGCAGATCTTAAAAGCTGTGTGGTCTTGCATATGCCAGCAGAGAAGAGAGCATGTCACAAGAAAAGCAAGTTAAGACAGTCTGATTTAAAGATTACAAATTCAATGAAAAAAAATGGATGAATGATTTGTTTATTGTAAGACCAGTGGTATGCATTAAGAGTATTTATGTAGTTTCAATTTTGTGCTCATGCTGACTTTATGGAAAACTATCATGATGCAATTTGAGAACCAACATTTTCATGCTGACAGGAGAGCTTACAATGCTCATCTCTTCTTTAATCTAGATGATTTGAGCTGCCTTGGAACATTGCAAGTTAATAAGCAGTGTGTTTTAGTCCACTTAACTTTGGGATGCTATATACACAATGTAAATTTCAGTTACACAATTATTAATTCAATATACTTTACAAAACTACAGGTGAGGTGGCTTTGCTTAGCGTGTCAGATGCAGAAAGCACCAGAGCCTCCCCCTGCACAGCTTCAGCCACACGTTAAGGAAGTTTCACCACTTAAAATGGATACTCCCACTCTAGATGTTTCACAGAAGACGCCACATCTTCCAGCAGATTCAGTTCACAAGGATAAGAAACTAGAAGTGGCAGGGAAACAAGTCAATAAGCAAACTTTAGCAGAAACTGAACAACCCACCCAAAGAGAAACAAAACAACATCATATTGTAGAATTTCCAAAGTCAGAATCTCAAAAAACTGATCCGCAACCAGACAAACCTGGATTCTTTGGGTTCGGTTTTGGAGGAGCTAGATCTCGATCACCTTCTCCTCAGCCTGCTGTCTCTGCTGTCTCAGAGAAGGTTCTAGGGTTTGGTTCTTCATTCTTAAGCTCAGCATCTAATCTAATCTCAACAGCTGTTCAAGATGAGTCTTCTATAACACCATCTAGTTCTCGCAAGGCTTCAACAGCTTCTCAAATGTCTGATAAGACACCACCAACATCTCGCAAAGGTTCTGGAGTTCCACAAATCTCCAATAAAGTTAATACCACTCCACCTTCCTCTCGTAAGGGTTCTACAGTTTCTCAGACATCTGTTAAAACAACTCCTCCAACCTCACAGAAGGAGTCTGAAGCTACAGTAAACCCTAAAAACATTGAAAAGACAGATGGGGCAAAAACTAAAGTTGCAGAGAAAGGAGTAGGAACCAATAAAGGAGCTACCCCACACCAACAACAACAAGGAAAGACCCAAGATGGACATGTTCCTATCTCCTCTGAAATCCCTGAAGAGTCTAGAGGTAGATCTCAGTCTCCTTTACTTCCACCTGCAGCTTCTGCTGTCTCTGGGAAGGTTCTGGGATTTGGTTCCTCCCTCTTTAGCTCAGCAAGTAATCTGATCTCATCAGCTCTAGATGAGCCTTCTACAACACCGCCCACTTCTCTTAAAGGTTCCACATCTTCCCAACTATCTGCTAAGACTACAACCCCACACTCTTCTCGTAAAGGCTCATCTGTTTCCCAGACTTCAGAGAAGATTACCACTCCACCTTCCTCACAAAAGGGCTCTGGAGTTTCTCAGATATCTCTCAAGACCAGCACACCTCCTGCTTCCTCAAAAGGATCTGATGTCTCTCCTAAAATGCTTCCTTCAGATGACAAACATGTACATGCTGAAAATATACAAGAAGAGATAAAAAAAGATGATGAGAAATCCATGGTCAATCAGGCACAGCCAACAACTGTATCAGTTACAAAAGATACAGATCTACCAGAAACAACAAGGACAGAGTCCACTAAATCATTTCCCAAAGCCTGCCCTCTCTGTAAAGTCGATTTGCAGAAGGAGCCTCCCAATTACAATACCTGTACTGAGTGCAAAACCACTGTGTGTAACCTATGTGGCTTTAACCCCATGCCCCATGAGACAGAGGTAAGCAGCCTTTTTTAGCTTGAACATAAAACACCTTATACTCATTATCATAATTATTATTTAATTAGAACTTTGGTAGTATCTGGGTATATGACATTATGGGCACCAATATTTATGACTTTGTAAGCATAAAAAATGCATTAAAATTATATTTAAAAAATTAATTCAATATTATGTATCCTTCTTGTAGTACTCTGTGAGCTTAATTTTAAACTGATTATTGGAATGCCGTTTCAGAAAAAGGAGTGGCAAAGAGCTCAAGCTGAGACTGACAAAGTACCTCCACCAGTATCACCACTAAAGAAAGCAACACCAACTCCTGTTCCTACACAGAAGAAGCCACTCGATTCCACAGATGCTACTGAAAAAGAAAAGACTGCAGTATCTGCAGGTACAACACCAGGGTCTGGGAAGGCAAGTGCAGTTCCACCAACACAGAAGCTACCCCAGCAGCAAGACATCAAAAATTCAGTACAGCCAACACAGAAGGATGATACTGTATCCACAAAATCTAAAGCCCCACCAAAGACTGCATCCACAAAAGAAGAGAGTGGCTTGTTTGGTTTTGGACGCTCTAGATCACCTTCTCCCCAACCTGCTGCTTCCAGTGTTTCTGGGAAGGTCTTTGGATTTGGTTCTTCCCTGTTGAGTTCGGCTTCTAATCTTATCTCCACTGCTGTACAAGATGAATCCTCTACTACACTCCTTGCAACTCAGGAGGTTTCAGCAGCTTCTCAAACCCCTGTGATGACAACATTAACACCAACTACTTCTCAGAAAGGATCAGCCGATGTGTCACCAAAACAAGGAGCTAAATCTGTTGAAGAAGAGCAGAAAGACAAGAAACCTGAAGAGAAAAGGACAGAAGTTCAGGAAAAAGAAGTAACAAAAGAGGGTGACCAGAAGTCAGAGCCCCCAAAGGCTTGCCCTCTTTGTAAAGCAGAAATAATGAAGAATCCACCAAATTACAGCACTTGTACTACTTGCAAGAGCACTGTGTGTAATCTCTGTGGATTCAACCCAATGCCACATCAAACTAAGGTGAGAAAATAGTTAAATATACAGATTGTTGTTTTTTTTTCAGTCACAATTATTGAAAATTTATTTCAGCAAGGTAATTTATTTATTATGAATGAACAAACAATAATATCTCAAAATGAAACAATAGTGGTCTTTATTTCTCACAATTAGGGCTGCACGATTAATCGAAATCAAAGGCGATAAATCGCGATTAGGCAGAAGCTGCGATTGTCATGCGTATCTTTCAGTAAAGCATGGTTCTGTGATCAGCAGTAAATCTCCATCCGAAGGCCAGAGGGCGCTCTCGCGCTGAAACTCCAAATACACCCCGCAGAAGAAATCCAGGAAATCCCTATAGCGGTTGCTGAATAAACAGAAGATTTAACTGCTTTCATTGATTCTACATGACTAATAAACACACAACTACGACAATATATGGTTTATCTGACTTGTCTTATTATAATTTTTATTATAATAAAGTATTTAATAATGCAATGCTAATCGACATAGCCTTTATCACGGCTTAGAATACTATGAAATATGTTGCGTGCCTTATTCTGTGTAAGAAGCCACATCATCTCACAGAAGGATTTACTGATTAAAGTGATTTTGGACTAAAAACATGTTATTAAATGTGATATTTTCACGTGCTTTCAGATGGAGCAGCATTTACTACACAGAGCCGTAGTTCACTGACAAGCTACGCAAACAGCTTTCATAATCGCAGTACTATATCTTCGATTTCATAATCGCACGATTATCGTCTGCGATTATGAACGCGATTTTGCGTAGCTTGTCAGTGAACTACGGATCTATGTAGTAAATGCTGCTCCATCTGAAAGCACGTGTAGGAGATTTACTACTGATTACAAAACCGGCTTTACTGACAAGATGCGCATGACAAATGCATTTGATTAATCGTGCAGCCCTACTCACAATATTATGTGGTTACCTTTTTCAACAACCAGGTGAAGGAATGGCTGTGTTTGAACTGCCAGATGCAGAGAGCTCCTGAACCTCCAGTTGTGAAACCAGGAACTCAGACTACTAAATTACCTCCACCTGCATCACCAAAAAAACAAGACACTGGGGGTGTTGTAGCAGAGGATCAGAAACGTAATGCTTCTGGGAAACAAGAAGGCAAACCCAATCTTGCAGATTCCAAGCAAACTACATCAGATGCCCAAATCCAGAAAAATGTCTTACCTGCCAAATCTGATCATCCGCCTAAATCTGAACCTTCTAAACATGATTCAGATTTTTTCAGCTTAGGTTTTGGTGGTTCTCATTCAAGGTCACCATCTCCTCAGCCCACTGTGTCTGCTGTCTCTGGGAAGGTTCTAGGCTTCGGTTCCTCCTTCCTTAGCTCAGCATCCAATCTGATCTCCTCGGCTGTCCAGGATGAACCTTCTAAAACTCCACCAACATCTCGCAAAGGGTCTACAGTTTCCCAGACTTTGAATAAGACAACACCAACACCTCCCACTTCTCAAAAAGCATCAGTAGCTCCACAAGACACTAAACTAAATCTTCCTGCAGCAGAATCAAATCCAACCTCTTCACCAACCCAAGAACAGAAAAAGCCACCAGATGCTCAATCATCCAAACCTATACAAACTCAAGTGAAAGAGGAGCATCCAAAAACTTGCCCACTCTGTAAGGAGACCCTTAAGAAGGACACACAAAACTATAGCTCTTGCACTTCTTGCAAAAGCATTGTTTGCAATCTCTGTGGATTCAATCCCAATCCACATCAAACTGAAGTAAGTCTGTGTTTTACAGTTCTCTTTAATAAAGTCTCTCGTTTTGCTACCAGAAATGATTCTGTACAGAATTTGTAATTTAAATGATAGAGATGAGGTTAAAATTATGGGTAAATAAGTTTGTATGGTCACAGGTGGTAATCTTTCTTATCTACAGGTGAAGGAGTGGCTGTGTTTGACCTGCCAGATGCAAAGAACTTCAGGTCCTCCCCCAGCTCAACCACAGTCTAACAAAGTACTTCCACCAGCATCTCCACGAAAGGAAGAGATTCCAGAGAAGAAGCCAAGTGTTATAGCTGAGCAGGAAAATAAACCTCCTATAGAGACCAAAACACCAATACCACCAAATACTCAAATATCTAAAGGTGATGCTTCTCCTTCCATGTCTGCTCCACTACCTAAAGGTGAACAGATTAAAGAAGAGTCAGGTTTCTTTGGCTTTGGTTTCGGTGGTGCTCGATCTCGGTCTCCCTCTCCTCAAACGGCTGTCTCTGATAAGGTTTTTGGTTTTGGATCCTCTATCCTCAGCTCAGCATCTGACCTGATCTCTTCGGCTGTTCAGGAAGAATCCACCACCAAAACTCCACCACCATCTCGCAAGGGATCTACAGTTTCCCAGACTTTAAATAAGACCACACCAACACCACCCACTTCTCGAAAAGGATCAGTTGCTCCTCAGGATGCTAAACAAAAACCACCTGAAGGGGAATCAAAGACAGTTGTTACATCAATGCAAGAACCAAAGCCAGTACAGACAACCCCAGATCCTAATCTGGCCAAACCTCCACATGCTCCAGGGGAGCTTCCAAAAATCTGTCCACTTTGCAAAGAAACCCTCAAGAAGGACCCGCAGAACTACAGCTCTTGTAGTTCTTGTCAGAAAATTGTTTGTAATCTCTGTGGATTCAATCCCAATCCACATCAAACCGAGGTACCATATGTCAATGTCTTTAACATTTATATTTTTAAAGGCTCTATTGAAAATATAAAAAGGAATTATTTTGTGTAGATTTTGAGTTTTAAAAGAAAATATGTTTAATGGTTTAATTTACTTTTTTTAAATAATCAACAGGTGAAGGAGTGGCTATGCTTGACCTGCCAGGTACAGAGAACCTCAGGACCTGTCCCTGCTCAGCCACAATCCAACAAAGTACCACCAGCATCTCTAGAAAAGAAAGCAACTCAAATTCTGCCTTCTTCAGAAAAGAAGCAGAGTGTCCCTGCTGAGCAGGACAAGAAACCTCCAGTAGAGACTAAAAAACCTACAATTACTCCAACACTAAATGCTCAAAAGTCCACCGGTGAAGCTTCTACTTCCAAACCTACTCCATCATCTAAAGTTGAACAGACTAAGGAAGAGTCTAGTTTCTTTGGCTTTGGTTTTGGAGGTGCTCGATCCCGGTCACCTTATCCTCAGTCTGCTGTCTCTGAGAAAGTTATGGGTTTTGGGTCATCCTTCCTTAGTTCAGCATCTAATCTGATATCCTCAGCCATTCAGGATGAGTCATCCACCAAAACCCCACCAAGTTCTCGTAAGGGATCCACTGTGTCCCAAAGTTCTATTAAGATGACACCAACACCACCTACCTCTCGAAAAGGTTCAGAAGCTTCACAACCCACACAAAAAATTAAACCACAAGAAGAAGCCAAACTTATTACTGCACAGAAACAGGATGGAAAGAAAAAAGGGGGAAATAAACCACAGGATGAGATGACCAAAGAACCAGTCGTTGATGTGAAAATTAACAGACCAGCCCCGGAGCTTCCGAAAGCCTGTCCACTCTGTAAAGTGGACATAAAGAGGGATCCACCAAATTACAACACTTGCTCTGAATGCAAGGACATGGTGTGCAATCTTTGTGGATTTAATCCTATGCCACATCAAACTGAGGTAAGAGTACTTAATTTTTTAGGGAGATGTATATCTGTGAGTTGCACATGCATCAGTTATTCCATTAATTCAGTGTCAATTCAGTGTAATTTCAAGAGCTTCTTTTAGTATTTTTATTCTAATTCCAATTATTATCCTACAGGTTAAGGAATGGCTGTGTTTGAACTGTCAGAGAAAGAAAGCTCAAATGTCTCCCTCTGCCCAACCACAGCCACAGGTTAGCAAAGTATCTACACCAACAATACCAGAAAACAAGGAGGCTCTCATACATACTCCAATTCCAATGTCTCCAAAAAATAAGCCAGATGTCATTGAGAAGATAAGCACATCATTTGTTACAGAGAATCAAGAGAACAAACCTACACAAGCTACAACACAACCACCTGAAATGCCAAAACGTGATCCTTCACCTGCAAAATCATCTGTACAACAGAAACCAGAACCTTCTAAAGAGGAATCAGGTTTATTTAGCTTTGGTTTTGGCGATGTTCGATCTGGATCACCTCAGCCTTCAGTGACTGCTGTCTCAGGGAAGGTTCTAGGCTTTGGATCCTCCTTTTTGAACTCTGCATCTAATCTAATCTCCTCAGCCGTTCAAGATGAGTCCTCCACAATGCCACCAACTTCTGGTAAGGCTTCCACAGCTTCTGAAATGTCTGCAAAGACTACAACGCCACCGACATCTCGCAAGGCATCTGTGGTTTCCCAAGCTTCAGTTAAGACTCCACCAACACCACCCGCTTCTAGGAAAGGATCTGTTCCTTCTCAAAAAGTTCCACATTCTGACACAAAAGCACCTACAACAGACAAACCAAAGGAGGACAAAACAGATGAGAAGCAGGTGCAACAGGCTTCAGCAGTACCTGAAGCTTCAGTAGTAGCAGTTGCAGCTCCTAAAGCGGAAAACAAAGCATGTCCTCTTTGCAAAGTCTATCTTAATGTGGGTTCAAAGGACACTCCTAACTACAATGTCTGCACTGAGTGCAAGAACACTGTTTGTAACCTCTGTGGATTCAACCCAACACCCCATCAAACAGAGGTAAGAGAATGCTACTATTCTGTTATAACTGTTGCTAACACTCTTTTAACACAGAAGATGCATTTACACTTATCTAAAATGCTTGATCGCTCCAGCTCCAGCGTAGTTTTGTGTAGTGGTCTCCATGCAAAATCAATATCATGTTAATGTTCCATCAATATCATGGATGAAACAATTCAAGGATTCCTTTTTAATCTCTCCATACAGGACAATGAATGGCTATGTTTGAATTGCCAAACACAGCAAGCATTAAATGGAATGGAACCACAAGCACCTCCCAAAATAAATAACCATCAACAACCTGAAAATGTCTCCATCTCAGCACCACCTCCAAGGACAGAATGTATAACACCAGGGGCACCATCATTAGTGCCAACCATGGTTCCTGATCCTGAAACCCAAAAGAAAGAGATTCAAGCTGTGGCCATTCCTGATAAAACTAAGACTCCTGTTTCAGTGGATGCCCAAAAGAAAGAATCAGTCTCAGCTTCACCAAAACCACCAGAGACTAACATAAAGGCACAACCTGCATCCTCTCAGAAGAAAGAAACATCAGATTCAAAGAAAGATAAAAAATCTGACACACTCTTAAAGGAGTCTGACAAGTCTCCAGAAAAATCTGCTCCACCTCCACAGGCAGAGCCACCAAAACAGGAATCCAGTTTCTTTGGTTTTGGATTTGGTGGTCCTAAGGTACAACCAACTTCTTCTAAGCCATCTGAGTCAACCACTGGGAAACTCTTTGGCTTTGGTGGCTTGACAGAAACAGCTAGATCTCGATCACCATCACCATCACCACAGTCTGTTTCTGCTGTCTCTGGGAAAGTTATGGGCTTTGGATCCTCTATATTTAGCTCAGCATCGAATTTAATCAGCTCAGCTGTTCAAGATGAAACTTCCACTATACCCCCAACTTCTCGAAAGGCATCCACAGTTTCCCAGACCTCTGCTAAGACTACGATAGGAGACACCAAACCACATGCAGGACAAGATGCAGAGAAACCAGCGGAGAAGAAACCAGAAATCAAGCAAGTCACAGCCAAACCACCTCAGAAACCTGCTCCTGAAGAAGTCAAGACTAATTGTCCATTATGCAAAGTAGAACTCAATATTGGTTCCAAGGATGCTAAGAATTTTAACACATGCACAGAATGCAAGATAACAGTGTGCAGCCAATGTGGATTTAATCCAATGCCTCATCAAACAGAGGTAAGACATTTGACCTCTATTTTTAACATAAGATTTGTACCATGTACCATTCTTTTTGACTTTTACTCCATCATACAGTAGATATTTACAGTAAGCCAATATAACTTGCATTGTCATCATACTACAGAACAACACAATGTCATTGGCATTCGGAAAAAAAACAACTAATTAAAGTAAATGTAACTATTTGTTGCATTTTATTAGACATTCCAAAAATGTTAAAGTCAAAAACAGGACATTTCCCCATGCAGTTTTAGTCTTCTATCATTAAGCTCTAATTTCATTTAAAGTTTTATGTCTATGTTTACTTTAAATGCTGTTAAGTACAGCACATCTTTGACTTTTTGTCTGCTAATTGCGTATTTGCTTTATTTTGTTTTTAAAAACAATATTTAAGAGGGGCCATTTGTATTCATGCTGTCAATGTGGCAAGCCATTGCAATTCTCAAGACATATTCCGTAGAAGTGTCTTGAGGCAGTTATTTTGTGTAATCATGGAGTATACAAATAGGTTCAACAACAGTCTTTGACCCTCACCAGCTTTTCATGCATTTCACTTACAGATATGTAAAGTAAGGATAAACAAATTGTTGCACAGACAATGTTAATGATGTGAATAAGTGATCATTTATTTTAATTTTGTTATACTAATGTACTGTATGTTGAAGCAGCAGTTTTTAGTAGTTATTAGGTTTTCTATGTAGAAACCTACTATAAGACAGTAGAGGATGTAATATCTTATTGCCAATTAATTATAATTATTGCAGGTTGAGGAATGGCTCTGCCTGAATTGCCAGGTACAACGGGCACAGGCAGGGATGAAAACAACTGAAAGTCCCACAGTGAAACCTCAGCCAATTCCCTTAGTTAAACACAACCAAACTCCATCCAAAGTTGACAAGGTATCTACAGCTCCAGTTGAAACCAAACTGGATGAGAAGCCTGCTGCAGCTGAAAAGAAAGCTGTCTCTCCTCAAGAAATAAAGAAAGAGATCTCAGTTCCAAGCTCTCAACAAAAGGCAGGTACTGATGCCATGGGAACTGATACAATCACCCCAAGAAAAGAGCCTCCTAAGCAAAACAATACTCAACTAAATCCTGCGAAAGCTCAACAAGAGCCACCCAAAGATACAACCATTCATGTCAAATCTGCTCCACCTACCGAGACTGGACCCCAAAAACAGGAATCAAATTTTTTTGGTTTTGGATTAGGTGGTCCTAAAGCACAGCCTACTTCTAAACCATCCGAGTCAACAACTACAGGAAAGTTCTTTGGTGGATTTGGTGGCCTGACAGAAACTTCTAGATCTCGTTCACCATCCCCACAGTCAGTTTCTGCTGTCTCTGGGAAAGTTCTGGGTTTTGGATCCTCATTATTTAGCTCAGCGTCTAATCTGATCTCCTCAGCTCTTCAAGATGAGCCATCCACAACACCCCCAACTTCACGAAAAGGCTCCACAGTTTCTGTTGATTCTGGTAAATCTACCACAGCACCAGCTTCTCGCAACGGCTCAGTGGCCTCTGCCAAGACTACACCACCAACATCGTGCAAAGGATCTGTTGCAACAGAACCCAACAAGGTACTTCCTGAAAAAGAGAACAAGCCACCTGTTGAAAAGAAACCAGAGCAGCTCAATGAGAGCAAAGTATCAAGGATACCTACTTCAGAAAAGGATAAACCTGAAACTGGACAGGATAAATTAGTAAAACATCCTGAAAGTGTACCTCAACCATTCACCTGCCCACTCTGCAACGTGGATCTTAACATGGACTCAAAGGACCCTCCTAATTACAACACCTGCACTGAATGTAAAAGCATTGTATGTCATCTCTGTGGATTCAACCCCATGCCTCACCTTGCTGAGGTGAGTCATTGACTGTTTCATTGTCTTAAGTCTTTGTTTCTGAAGGTCTGTTTTTTACAGGAATAGTGTCCATTAGTGTCAATTTCATTATTCTTTTTAATATGTGTCTTTAGTACAGTGGTTCCCAACCCTGGTCCTGGAGGCACCCCAACACTGCACGTTTTGCATGTCTCCTTAATCAAACACACCTGATTCAGGTCATCAGCTCATTAGTAGAGACTTCAAGACTTGACATTGGTGTGTCAGAGAAAGGAGACATGCAAAATGTGCAGTGTTGGGGTGCCTCCAGGACCAGGGTTGGGAACCACTGCTTTAGTACATAGATAATAAATGTGTTGATTGCTAATTTAATTTGATCTTCTCACTAAAGTACTTTAGACTCTTTTTTGGGGAGTCACTACCCAAAAGGCTCTTCTGACTGATATATTTCTTAGTCTTAGCTCTTATGTATTGATGACTAATAAGCCAGTGTTCTTTGGAGTCACTTTTTGAGTGTCACTACCCAAAAGGCTCTTCTGACTGATATCTTTTTTAGTCTTATCACTTATGTATTGATGACTAATGAGCCAATGTTTTTGGGTGCATGAGTCTGACAGACAGAAAATCTGGAGTGGTGGGTTCTCCAATGTGCAGTTCATAACCCCTATTATGCCCACTCATTCTCCAGATGGCTCTTTCCAAATCATTGTAATTTCACTAAAACTCCACAAGGGCTAAGGACGTAGTAGAAGAGCCAATAAATGCTTTAGCATTCTGCAGGGACCAATGAGTGATTGGAATTCTTTCAGGTTTGTCCAATAACAGCCAGTGTAGACTGAGTCAACAAAACCCTGCTAAGAAATTAAGTGGCTTGTGAATTCAAAGCCTAGAAAATTAAAGTGGACACTATTGTCCCTTTGGTGATTTAAAACTGCTAATAAATTAAACTGTTTGGGAATTCAAAGCATAAAAAATGAAAGTGGGCAGTAGTGTTGCTGTGATGATTTAACTGCTGTTTGTATGCAAACAAGACAATTTAAAATTATGCATGCACTCTGCATTGCAAACTTTTATTTGGTGAGCTGCCCAGGCCTTGAGTAAACACTAAGCTTAGAGAGCAGAGGCGGTAATCTGCATGAGTGGTATTTATGAGAGCGTAGCTTCACGCTATAATGCTGAAACGTGCTGAGTGCTGACTCTGGGGGAAGAATCCCTGTGTTTGGACAAAATTTGTGGTTATGCAACAGGCTGGTTAAAGAGAGCCACAACTTGCAGCACACTGTTAAAGTGATCAAAGGTTTGAATATGGAGACGGGTGGTGTGCCTCATGATATCCTAATAAATGGAGGTGGTGATGAGGGTGGGGGCAGGGTGAGTTGTCAGATGTCTACCTTGTGCTTGTGGACTGATGGACTAAAGCTCCCATGCCATCTGCAGCATGTGCATGGCCACTTCCACAGCATGTCAGCCGTCCATCATTTATGCTAATGTGACTTCCTGTGCTTGTGACCCCAACAAGCTGTTCATTGCTTTCATCAGAGCTGTGATTGCAGAAGTAATTTAATGAGAGAACTGTTTGATTTATGGATTGGTGGATTATTACAGCACACTGAAGGAAATGGTATGAGAATAAGACATGTTACAGTATTTAATATTCTGTAATGCTCATCTGTTCTGTGTCCAGCTGCAGTTGTTCTCTCAGTGTTGCACTGCAAATCATATACGAGCGTAGCATCGCTGATGTTTTTTTTGGCAATTACAATTCTGAAACACTTGCATATTTTTAAGATTTCAATTATTTAGGAAGTGTAAATGCAATGGGCTTCGGTGGGCTAATGTTTGGAGATTTAAATTTAGAATTATTCAGTAAACACCTGAGTTAACCTGGTAAAATATGCTCCTTTGCTGCCTTTACTCTGACAAACTATAGGAGCTCTGTTTTGACAATCAGCTTGCATTCCATTTTCTGCCTGCTGTGCATGCTAATGAACAATCGCATGTGATCCACTGTTTCCTGAAATTGTGAATCTGTGCAAATATGTTTATGCCACATCATTGTCATCAGTATATTTGCAGCTGAAATGCACCATCTGTGCAGTGTAGAAACAGTTGTAGATGGGCAAATTTAACTATAATATAATCGACTTTGTTGGGGTGTTCTGTACACCCGTGTCCTCTGCAGATCCAGTTAAAGGATAATATCATTTGATGTCAGCTTATGGAAAAAGTATCCATTATTATGTGGACATTTTATCAGTTGGTGCATATTTGCAGTGTTTCTATATAGTTTGAAAGTTAGTGGTTTATGAACAGGCTATGTACTGTATTCAAAGATTTGATAGATTTTTTTTTGTCCCTTTATTATTCATTCCTTCTTCCCATGGGGTCACACTGTCTAGAACATTTACTTTTTATATTAAAAAAGAGTATTTGCAGAAGATGGCCCACTTAGAAACAGACAGCCTTGCATTTTTCAGTGCTGAATAATATTTGGCACTGCACTGTCATCCTGCCCTTTTGGATATGACACAGTCAGTCTCTTGTAATTTGCCCTTAACATGAGCCTTTAACTTTGGCCTCTACAATCCTGCACCTTCACACAAGAAAACAGATCGTGTGCTTCTGATGTTAATTGAAAAATACAGTGTATGCCCAAACATCCTTTTGAATGACAATGCACATTCACATATCTGTCATTTGTAAAGCTGTAGGCATTCAAACGCTGATGTGTGATATTAAGATATTTAGTGATATGCCGTGTCCGCATCTGCCACACTGTTGGATAAAAATAGCGTTAGATTTTAATCTACTTCAGCTAGCATTGTGACAGTGGCTCCATGAATGCTGTCGCTGGACCCAAGGGGACTTGTGTATTTTTGGATGCCATCTAACAGCTTATGCTGATGTCTTACTTTTTGCAATTATGAAAAACGAAAAATAAAGACTTTTAGGGTGACAAGTTTAGGGTGATAATCTATAATACATTGTCATACATTTTAAAGGGGTCATCATACCTATTTATAATTTTTTATGTTATATATATATATATATATATATATATATATATATATACGTTTTCGAGGGTTGAAAACGCCGGAGTAGTGTAAACGACAGGCGTAACCGTAGCAAAAGTTATGCGTTTTAAAACGAAAACGCACTAGTGTAAACGTAGCCTAACATACTAAAGCTGTAAACAAATGTTTACATTTAAAGTTAATATATTTATTTTATAAATCATATATAAGGGGCGCGCAAGATGGCGGCTTGGAAGCGGTAGTGTTTTTTAGAGGCTCTTGTGCCACTCACTCGTTTTCCCTCCCTAACTCGTAAATAAAGAACGCAAGTCATTGATTTCGGTTACAAATCTTGTGTAGCATGTCACTAGAGACTTTTTGGTCGCAATCTATGCCGAAGATGCCAAGACCTGCTAAGAAAACGGGAAAAAAGGATCCGACCGTGGACGCAGCAGCCGAGGAGCCCGAGCATAGCTCGAGTGATGCAATAGTGAACCCGAACTTAGCCCGGCGCTTGCAAAAGCACTTGAAATTATGACGGAGAAAATTTCCAAATGAAAGTCAGGGTTTCTTGCACCAAAAATGTTTGTGATATTTAGGTTTACATTACCATTTCCACCTTAGTGCAGTAATGACCTGAGCTAGACAAGCAACTGCCATTGAGATGAGTGAGACTGCTAATCGATAGCTAGGTATTATAGATTTTATTTTTGTTTTCTGATTTCTTTAGTGCTGCTTTATTGCAATAGATAATCTGTTTGTACTTGAGATTAAGATTTCAGTTCCTTCCAGTTGTTTACATAGCTACTGTATATGAAACTCTTATTGCAAAACAGAAATTCAATTTCATATGATATGACTCCTTTAAAGAACAGAGCGTTCTGTTTGGTCTTATAAGCAGTAATTGACGGAGCAGCAGTGGTTACTGTCTGCTGTGTTTCCTCATTGTTCCTCTGGTGGTAATACACTGGTGGCCAGCTGTGCCCGAGAGAGTTGTGTATGCTCTCGATGGGATCGAGTTTTCTATGTCATGTCATTAACACAGAACAATGCTCTGGTGGTTTACACAACATGGCCATTGTCACTATGCGCGCAGTATCTTTCTTTCTCTTTTTCTCCTTTTAGTCTTGTGTGTGCGCATGTGTGGTTTGAGCCCTGGATGCTTTATGCACAGTAATATGATCATCCCAGTGCTTGGAAAATTGTTCAAGGTGTGTTCTGCTTGCTAATAAATGATGTTTATTATACTGAGACTCTGAGAGGCATGTAAAAACCTAATTTACTAATTTAATGCCATTAACTAACTTGTATCATATAACCTGACCTGCATGGGGCTACAGTCAATCTTTTTATGGGGCCAACTTAGCATCAAAGGTGTGTAGGCATATATTATATATGTTAGGCATCTTAATGTTCCTCTGCTGCTTTTTCTGCCTGTTGGTCTGTACCTAAATGTACAGTAGCTAAATCATTGGGAAATTTGGCACATTGTTTGAAGAGTGTCTTGTTATTCCTTATAGCAGCATTCTTCCACCTACAGTTAAAAGTTTTAGATACACTATTGGTCAAAAGTTTGGTGTCAGTATGATTTTTATTTTTTTTTTCTTGGTAAATAAATGAATACTTTCATTCAGCAAGAATGGATTAAATTGATTAAAAGTGACAGTAAAACATTTATAATGTTACAAAAGATTTTTGTTTCAAATAAATGCTCTTCTTTTGAACTTTATATTCAACACAAAATTCTGAAAAAAGTATCATGGTTGCCACAAAAATATTAAGCATAGATAATAAACATAGATAATAATTAGAAATGTTTCTTGAGGGGGGCGCGCAAGATGGCGGCTTGGAAGCGGTAGTGTTTTTTAGAGGCTCTTGTGCCACTCACTCGTTTTCCCTCCCTAACTCGTAAATAAAGAACGCAAGCCATTGATTTCGGTTACAAATCTTGTGTAGCATGTCACTAGAGACTTTTTGGTCGCAATCTATGCCGAAGATGCCAAGACC